AATGTGCTTAATTCACAGCAATGTACTTAATTCATCAACATCTTCCAAGATAGGTTAATGGTATGACAGATCTAACAAAAATATAAACAAGAACTTCATACATATTTAAAGAAACGAAGAAATCCAGTTACAAATTCACAGCTTTTTTTTCTTCCTTTCAAAAAATCTGGTGCTCAACTTGTAAAAATTAAACAGAGCTAGCCAGACCAAGTAGGTGCATTTCATTGATAAATTAAATGGTTTTCTAAACAAGTGGAGTGTAAGAGATTGAATCTAGGTTACAGAAAAAAAAACAAACCCTTCCCGAGTGACTCCACACTATATCAGCTAAAACAAAGCTGGTAATTTCACAAAAGTTACAAGCAGTTCACAGAAAAGGAGAGAGGTCACAGGCCATACTAAACAAAGGAAAGAAAAGAAGAGGTATCTGGTTACTTTATCCAATTAATAAATACATAATGCAGAGTAATACGAATAGGAAGATACTTAAGAGGTTGAGGTGATTATGCAGCCAGCTTGCATTCTGCTGGAGGATTGGTAAAACTCTATTCCATTTCCATTTCAGGAGAGTTTGGATTTGACATTTGATAAAATGAAAGGACTGAAAGACAAATTTCACATTGCACATACTGTGTGATAGCTATGCACAAATTATATACCAACACCTAAACACAACTCTACAGTTTGAGAGCTGCACATCCCCATGGGATCCGGAGAGCCAAAAGCAGTGCTGTGCTTATCAGAAGCATCTCCCAGGGACAATGCTAAGTTTCAGAACCGCAAACAAGTGATCAGACTTGAATTCTACAGTAAATCCACAGTAATCCTTCTTTGTCTCCTGAACAAACACAAAGTTAGTTTAGGGTCTATGTTCACCCTGTGTACTTCCATCAAGACCAAGTATGCTGTGCAACAGCCCTTTACTGTGCAGAATTTCCTTTTTTGAGTAGGCTGTCCAAGGAGACCGAACAGCAGGTAAGGTTTTTCAGGCAGCAGTACTACAAGAAAAACACTTTTTGGTATGAAGCCAAGTTTAATAACTTCAAAAACAAGAGTCAAGGTTTTATCATCAACTGAATCAATTAAGAACTTTGAAGTAAAAACCCTCTAACCCCATACTTGTAAGAAACTGAATAATACTTTGAAGCAAAGCAGACACTACTTTTAACTCCTCTTCAGTAAAGCACTTGAGTATTGACATATCCCATCTCACTTCAATTAAGCAATATTTTGCTTACTTAATTCCTAACTTTGAGTCAGAGTCACCACAGTCAGTATTTAAACAACATTACTGTTTAATAAAAAGTATTTACTTGGAAAACAGTTTTCCTGTACTGCAAAGGCACGGGCAAAGTAATAATCATTTTCACACTTGCACTGGTATGGGTTTGAAATGACAGTTTATCTTGTAAATAATTTAAACACAGCCTAGAAACAGAGAGTTTTTAGTTTAAAATGTTGAAGTTCCCTCCCTTCTTCAAATATTTTGGATTACACAACAAATGCACATCAAGATTGTTTTGATTCAGATGGAAAATTAGTTTAAAGGACAAATATTTTAGCATTAAAATCTAAATGTGCAATTCCTCAATTTCAGATCAGTAGACCTTTACATTTGGATGCAAATGAACTTTAGTTAACAAAAAATAGTGAAATAAATGTGAAAAATAGTGAAAAAAAATAGTGAAACAACCTGAACGCTCACAGATTAGTGATATTTTCCCCCAAAACTAAGGCAATAATGTTTGGGAAATAAAGGGTTACATTTTCTGGGGTTTGAAGTAAGAGCTCTAAAATCAATGTCACTTTAATTAAGCCTGAGTAAACTAAATGACCATAGATTTATAGCTGCTGTGCCACAAAACTGAAACATTGCTTCCATTAAACTAAAATCACAACTCAAACTATTATCACCCAAAGAAACAAAGTGTTTGTAACAATTAGCAGCAACCAGACTGTGTTACTACCATATTCTTATTGGTATCACTGCCCCCCTTACTGGCATTGTCAATCCTTCGGTTTCTCACAGTCAACTAAATTCTCAATTCCAGTAGAATAAATTGCATTCCAGTTTACAATATTGGAACATACTTAGAAGCTGAGCCCTTATGATGAAAATGCACTCACATTATTTATTTCAAGGTGTGTAAACAACATTATTTTGAAACAGAATGGCACTGATGAGCATTAAATTGAAAATACTCCATTACAAGTTTTCTCCACAATTCGCTTCTGATGTTGAAAGACACTAGAATTCTCTTGGGTGTACACCAAAAGAGGGTATGTCAACACTATAGCTCAAATTGCATTTGTAACAACTTTATTGAGAGCTGCATCATCTGCCTTCCTTAAAGTACAGCCCTTTCATATCAGTAAGTTTAAATCAAATATCTGGGGAAACTATTCATAAGTGTTATGACACTTTAGTTCAATACTGAATTACAATTTGATTTCAACTAGTTAGAAATTAAATCCAGAATTTGTTTGTTAGCCCACTAAAAACCACTTGGGGAAAAGAATCCCCAAAACCAAGCATAACTACAATAAACTGAAGCCCACTAACCAAGTCCAGTAAAACTCTAACTGGAATTACATAACCGATACCACTTAAACATTAAAAAGACAGCATATTTAAACATTAGAATATTAATTCTACTTTACATTCCTCGCTCTTCTACATGGCTACCCATGGTATCTGAACCAAATAGTTTCATAACCACAGCACAGACTGCTAACTTATCTTTAGGAAGAGTAACTGCAAGAACAACTGGCAGAACAACACTATTTGCAAGGCAACAGCTGAACAGTTGTTATAAGCATGCCTACTGAAAGGATAAATACAGCCCACAGGTTAGTGCACAGAATACACACAGCAGTGTGAAACAGATAGGCAGCACAGAGACCCATATAAACCACACCTTATCCCCTTAGTCACATGAAACATCCATTTCTAATCCTAGCTGAGTTAAGCTTTAAGGCTTTAGCAGTAGGTATTGTAAGCTTAAATAGTATTACTAGTACCACAGTCTCTTTTGCTACCTGTAGCACATCAGGCAGATCAGGCACAGCAGCAGTTAAAGGAACATAGGATTTCCCCCTCCACCATCCTTCAGAAACCCCTTAGAAAAACAATTATTCAACAGTGATATACTGCTCTACCAAGTTCCTTTTACAAGGCTGAAATGCTGATGGATGTTTCTTTAGCGTTGTTGGTCCCTGCCTAAAAATTATTCAACATGCTTTCATTAACTTCGAACAGCAGCTGAATTGGTAACCTGCTATAAACAAAAGGCAATTTTCTTTTTCTCCCCATGAAAATCCTGTTTTCCTGAAAAAGGAAGAAAAATACAACTCAGACTAGCAACTCGCTCCTCTCAAAAGTGTAAGGGAACAAGCATGTTAATATTGCAAATTTCTGGAAGTTACATGAATCCTATTGAAGCTGAAAGTCAGTTATATTATGCTAATGTAAAATTCATTAGAATGTAATAACATATGCTAATGTAAAACTCTGTGATAAACATTTTGTTATCTAGCTACAACAGAATGCTTTAAACACTGGGGAAAACCCTTAAAAAAAACCCCATATACTAACTACTGGTTCTCTACTACAGTCTTTCTCTTTTCTGCTCTCATTGCATTTCATGTCCTTTGCCCTGCTCAGCACCACAGATACTGAAGAAAAGTCACTCAGGATAACTCTTCTATTCCCCACACAGTCAGCTGAGCTATACAGAGTAAAGAAAACACACAGTTAGACAATACTTAAGTTCTACAAGTACTTTAAAATTTCACTACTTGAACCTCATGGGCTTTGCTCTTGCCCCCTTCTTGACAGTTTAAATTAAATAAGACAGATCAATAAGCCCTTAAGCCCTGATCTGATGCCCTTCCTGCTAGGAAGGTACGTAAGGAAAAATTCTGAGATACTAGAAATAACTGATGCCTCACCTTATTTATCCCTTCAGCAAACAGATAAGGAAAGCTGGGAGTCAGCAGAACATACAGCTTAAATACTTGAAACCACAAGCGGCCACACAGCTCCTAGCTTATTCTAGGACTACCTCAAAGGTATGCTTTTAAATGACCACACTATAGGCCAATTCAAACAGTTTACCTTATCACATAATTAATTACACTCTTAATATACAATTAGCTTTAGGGAAGTCACCTTTAATCAATCCTACAGAACTGGTCCATTGCAGCATTCACTATGGACAAATTCTGAACCGGAGCCAGGAAGGTGCCTCAGTTTCACCACTGACCAGATGGGCCCAAAGCAAGCCTGGTGTCTCCAGGACAACTCAGCCAGGGTGCAAGCAGAAGCAAGGGCTGCTACAAGATCACTGACTTCCTGAGCATGAGAAATGCATTGGCCAGACAGAGGAAAGGAAGAGAACAAAAAAGAGGACGGTTTCTTGTTCGACACGCAGAACTGCCAGGCCTCAACACTGAGTTTAACTCTTCTCTCCCTTCCGGGGAGGCTGGGACTTGACACCCGCCTGCCCCTTTCCCCAGGGCAGGTGCCACCGCCACACCCGGGGCCGAAGGGCGGCAGCTGCGGGGCGACCCCGGGGTGGAGGGAGGCGGCCCCAGGCGACCTGTAGCGCCCGGGTCACCCGAGGACACGCAGTTACCGGTTACGCAAACCAGAGAGCGGTTTTGTGCCGAGCCCCGCCCGCGGGCCCGGGGCAGGCACAGCCCCGCTCCGCGCCCCCCGGCCCGGCAGCCCCGCGGCCGCGCCAGGTGAGCGGCCCCGCGGCCGGGGAAGGGGCGGCCGCCGCGCAGGCTCACCGGGACAGCGGGCGGGCAGCGCCGGGCGCCCCGCGGGACGGCAGCGCCATCCTGCTCCGCCGGCGGAGAGGCAGCCCCGGCAAAACCGGGGGGCGGCGAGAGCCAGCCGCGTTCGGAAAGCCCCGCTCCGCGCTGCTCCCCCTCCTTCCGTCCCTCCCACGCCGGGGGCGCGGGGCACCTGTCAGCTGCAGCCGCCCCTCCCTTACCTGCCGTCGTCGTCGTCGTCGTTGCCGCCGCCGCTGCTGCTGCTGCTGCTGCCGCTACCACTGCCCGTGCCGGCCGGCCCGCCCGTGCCGGTGGGAGCGGTGGGAGCGGCCCTCCCTCACTGCCGGCTCCGCGCGCTCGCTCAGTCCGCGCGGCAGCCGCCGGCGCAGCGCGAGGCACCGGCTCCAACCGGCGCGTCTCGGGCGCGGCCCCGCCCGCCGCCCGTGTCACGTTACCGGCTGCGCAGCCAATGGGCCGCTCCTGGCGGAGCCGCGGCCGGGCCGCGGGGCGGGGGAGCCGCGGCGGACAAAGCGCCGCGCCCGGCCCCGACCCGGCCCCGCGAGCACCGCGGAGACACCTCACCTGACCGCCCCTGCCGGCAGCTCCCGGCACCGTGGTGTGCCTGCCCCGCTGAGAGCCCCGCGGTGCGGGGCGCCGGTCGTACCGACCCGCAGGCAGCAGCCGCCCCCTCGGTGCAGGCATTTAAACAGCTCGAGCCGCTGGAGAGCGGGAGGAGGTGGAGGAAGTGAGAAAGTAATTACCGCCAGCCGTTAGGAAATAAAAATAGAGAACGCTACACTTGCAGAGAGGCGATTTAATCCTCCCGGAGGCCTCAGCTGGGTGCGGGCGGAAGGAGCGGGGCTAGTCCGGCCGTGGGAAGCGGGGCTGGCGGTGTTGGGTACATTCGGTACAAGCTACACCCCGCCGGGACATCACCGCTGCACCTGCCCAGCAGCAGTGGGAGTCCCGTCACTGGGGCCAGGGACACCTGGTGTCCACCACCCTTTCTGACAGCAGCAGACAGAAGTCCGTACGGCGAGACCCTTCTATGGCTCTTCAGTTCCACTGAAAACCTGATAGAAATATAATAACTTTCACAAATAAACACAATGTTAAAAAAACCCAAACAACTCAATCACAGATTCATTTGACTTTCCTACTTCACCTCCCCTTTCTCCAGCCCACAGAGCATCTCCCTCTTCCAGATGTCCGAAGAGGCTGATTCTGCTGGGTAAAGGCATGAAAGCCTGAAACAAAATTTTGATACCTATCTAGATTTCTGCAAAGAACTGGGACAAATGGGCTCTGTCTACCTCCTCTTAGTCGTGCAAACAGATCAATCTACTCAAGTAATTGCCCTGACATATTTTCACTATTATTAACTCCACTGCAAGGACCTAGTCAAAACTCTGCAGTTATACATTCTAAGTATACTCCTTACACTTGCCTTGCTATGGTAATGTTTATTCTTTCCCCAGTCATCAATTTCGTGGAAAAAGGGACTATTTTCAAAATATTGCTTTTTCTCCAAAAAAACCCCAAAATCCTTTTCTTCACAGCTGTACAAAAACCACCTTCATTCTAAACAGCACAGACACTAAATTTTGCAAAAGTTAACAATTTTCAAATTGTATTCAGTACATGTTTAACTACTAGTATTACTTTCAACTTAAAAGATCCATTAAAATATAGCATACTTTTGTGGAAGCACAAGTATTACAGTTGAGCCAAAAATGAAACTAATTCAAACGAAAGTGAAGCTCACTTGTTAGTCCAAACGTGTAAAAATACTAATGCAAACGTGTTGGAAAAAAAACCCATCTGTTTTCCTAGCTTACAGTCACAGTGGTAGCCTAGCAGAGAATGTATTTATTTTAGGCTGATAGTTTCTACTTAAGGTGATGTACTTTGATAGTAATGTAACCTCAGAGAAGCCACTATTGTCACCACAAAGATGTCAGCATCGTGGCATTGTCTGCAATTACCTTTTCAAGAGCCTTTGGTGAGGTTTGGTAAACAGCAGAGAGCAGGCCAGCCTCTTCCCAGGAGACTAATTCCCCTTTGTCTCATGACCTGCCTCCTCTTTAGCTGTCTGTATCTCAATTTCCATCATGGAGACAAATTTTCTGCTCTATTAGGGGTTCCCTGAGGAATTATTTAATGCATTTTGCTGAGACTATTTCCTCTATTTGTGATCAAAATAAATAAAAGTACATCTCATTCTATAATCTTGCTTTCTATTAACAAAAAATGAAAAGTCTGTCTCCAGAACCTGCCATGTTTTCTATTTGTCAGTAATATGCTAGGAAGACAAATTAATGTTTAACTAAATTGGAAAACCAAGAACTGTTTGTGCTAAAAATAAAAATACTGAATTAAGCCAGAACACTGAAGTTAATGATCATAAGGTTCATAATTGCTTGAACAAAAGATTGCAAAACAATTATGTAGGTTTGCATTTTCTCTACTCTGACACTGAGTAGCTCCTGGGGAAGCACAAGGAGAGGACTCAACTCATCAGTCACACCCCACCAATCCCTGAGCAATGGCGTCTCAGCAAAGGAAATATTTTGTTAACCACCGACTCAAAAACGACGCTGTTTTAGCAGTGCAGCTCCTGACTGTATACCTAACAAATCTTGTTCTTCTTTAGGGTTAGCTTAGTGCCAATTACTTTAGGATGAATTTCTTTCAGTCTTTCTCAAGCCACATTATTGGGAAAATGTTCTTCAAGCTCTAACACCCTTTCTATTTGTTTTTGACAGCCATTTATAAGATACTGAAAAACAACAGCTTGACAATCCAGGGAGAGTTTCCTTTCACACATCTTGCCACTCCCTGATCTTTTTTAACTTAATATTTAGATGTTACAAACCCAGCTTTTTAAAAAATATATATATATTGAATTATATATATTGAATATATACATATTCATATATATATATATACATATATTTGAATATATGTATATAACCCCCCCAATTTCAAATGTTATGCTCAGTGTGACTAATGGGTGTTCAGGGTATGTGCTTCAACCCCTTCACTTGTACAGTTTGGGGAAATCTCATGTAGTAAGAAAGGGAAAGCTGTATAACAGAGACCTGTATGTTAAAGAGGGCAATATCGTAACAATTTCACTTTAAAATATTTTCTATTGAAAATTTCTTTTATTATCAGAGATATGATATTGTCTTTTAACCCTCTAGCAGTACTTGGAGTTGCAGGAGCAACAGCATCTTGACTGGCAATTGCACTGGCAGCAGTGTGTGAAGCTGAGCCAGTTCTGTCAATAAAGCACCTTATGACAACTTGCCTTGTGATCACCAAGTGCTTTTCTGACCGACTGTTTCTCAAGATTCCGTCTTTTGATATGAAAGGCTACAGCTTCATGGTTAGCTGAAGCATGAACCAGCAGATGACAACTCTTTAACCTCTAGAATTCCATACTAGCATTTATTCTCCTAAAGAGAATAAAAAACATGTAAGCTTCATAGTTCTCTGTATAATTTAATTTCAATCCCTGGCACATCCAGATCATTATCTCACTCTCTCTTTTTGGCATGTGCTTAAGCTTCTTTGTCTTCTGCTGCGAGTTTATAAATCACATGTTACATACGCTCCAGATCACTGATTTCCCGGTGCAATAATGTGGTTTGCAGTTACCAACAAAGGCGCTTCCTTCAGGGATGGGTATTTTAGAACAACACTTCCCTCTGCCGGCTCTGTGGGCCGTCACAGCTCTGCCTGCGCTGGAGGGACCTGCACACATCCTCTGCCCCAAGCTCTGACAAGACCTCTGCTCCTCCCAGAGTGCGTTGGACAGTACAAAACTAGCAAAGGTCTTATTAATTTATCAGATGAATATGGTAGGATAAAAGTTTAATCCAGTATCAACTGGACAGAAATATCAATTTCGTTTCTGATCAAGACGGGAGTATCTCAAAGTCATAGACATTGCTAAAATTGAGATTCTTATGGTCTGACATTTCATATTCACTCCAAAATCCTGACAGCTTTATGAAGATGAAATTAGAACAATATTTAGAAACACATTTTACCCAGATCAGCAGGCATTTCTTTGTAGAGTGTGCATATAGGACACCACAGAAAAAAAGATCAATATTTTTAAAGAAACATTGGCTGCACTTTTTGTGACTCTAATGGAAGCCAAGAATAGTGCTACAGTGGATTTTAATTGAGAGCTACACTTCCTACCTGGCCATCTATTCCAAACTGCTAGTAACAATGGTTGTGCTTAATTCTTGCCCTTCACAAGGATGGGAACTGGTCCCAGTGCAGTACTACACATGCTCCTAATTCACTTGCACAAACACGACTGAAAAACATAATTAAGCATTTTGCTGAACAAAGATTCTGTTCATATAATCTGCTGAATAAAGACTTCTGGTGGACTTCAAAACACAGCAAGATGATGAATAAGCTGAAGATAGAAGAAGGGGAGTATAAAATACAGATATAATCCTAAACCAGTATTTTTGCCGTCAGCAAAATTTACTTTGAAAAGGCAGACAGAGGGACAGAGTTTTTCTGTTCCACAGAAAAACTGTCAAAAGACTGGATCAAGGAGGTACTCCATGTTGAAAGGTAGAATAGGTAAGAGTGCTGAAAGCCATACTGAGGTAAACTGGAATAAACCTTCATTAGAAGACACGAAACAAGTGATTATGCAGTAGGTGGTTCTTGATCTGTGTTCAAAACAAAGTCTCTGGTAAGCACACAGAAGCTCTAGTTATAAAATAGCATATGAGAAATATTTCACATGAAAAAAAATATTTTCAAAAATTTTGGACAGGAAATAAAAGGCTTGAATAAAGAAACCAGAATGTCAGGATCAAGGAGACGTCCTGAGTAACAATAAGAGGGAAACAAAAACCAGCAGCATAATGTGGCATAGGCAATGCTTTTTTAAGAAGGATGTTTCCAGTCATCGCCTGGTTTTTAAATGCTGAAGAATAAGGATTCCTCTCTGCTTAATTTCGATGGTATTGCATTCTGCCTCCTGGTGATCCTTACATCTTGTTGGCTAATTGTAAAGTCTGCTTGAGAGTTTTCAAGAGAACTTATAAGGTGGAATCCAAGTAGACAGAGCAACTGGAGATGAGTATTTGTCTTCCAAGAGCTTTCAACACAAATTAAATACTTGTTGGCTCTAGAAGCCCTACAGGCATTATCAGTTCACATTTGACACTTAACACTGCATCACTAAAAATTGATGTGTGTCTGCTAGAATGCTACTAACAAATAATAAAAAAATAAATTAGTGCTTTGGGATTCCAACACATTCACTCCTATTGTTCACAAATGCTTTGACTCCACTGTACAGTTCTAGTATTGCAATTACAAGTC